GGTGCCCAGAATTGGACACAATATTCCAGGTGTGTTCTAACCAAGGCAAAATAGAGGGGTAGCATGACTTCCCTGGATCTAGACACTATGCTCCTATTGATAGGCGGGGGGTGGGGGGGCTTCAGCCCCCCCCCCAAATTCTCATGGTGGTCCGCGAGAAGGCCTTACTGGTACATTATTTAAACTGTTATGTTTATTCATATCATGATCTGATCACCATGCTCAATATATCCCATGCATGGGGGTATTGGGAGAACAATACAAAAGGTTTGCTAGGGTACATCCTCAGACCCCCCCAATCAAACTCAGCCCCCCCCCCCCGAATCAAACTCAGAACCCCCAATGCCACCACAGCACATTGTTGGCTCATGTTTAACTTGTTGTCCACGAGGACTCCAAGATCTTTTTCACACGTACTGCTCTCGAGCCAGGCATCCCCATTCTGTATCTTTGTATTTCATTTTTTCTGCCTAAGTGGAGTATCTTGCATTTGTCCCTGTGGAACTTCATTTTGTTAGTTTTGGCCCATCTCTCTAATTTGTTAATATTGATTTGAATTTTGTGTAAAAAGGCAGGAAAACTATCATTTCAAAGCTCCAAATTGTAGAAATGCACTATGCAGTGTCCATTTTTCCTCTCAAATCATATGCTATAAAACGTTGCACCAGAATTAACTTGTAGTTTGAAAGATATTGCAATTTAAAAGTGCTAATTTTCTAATTGTTCCTTGTAATAGGATTGGTATGAGGCAACTATTTGGGGAAACAATGCAGGCGATTACTTTGCAATCGTTTTATTGAAATGCAAAGACTCCAGAGTCAGCAGTTTTCAGGTTTCCCCCCACCACACCTTTTGACATGGGGGAGGGGGGAGGTTTTTTCATTTGGTAGTTTTTCTTCTCCTGTTCTAAAGCCCTGTTTATTGTTTAACTTTCCAGTTCAGCAACAACAAAAGGAGTTGCTCTTTCCAGAAAGGCAACCTTCCTAAAACACCAAATCCCTGCAAATTCTTCATTTACAGGCAAGGCCATTCACCATCTCATGACCAGAGTTTTTTTTCCATCAGGCTGTGAGTGTGCCAGAGTTGGAAACCGCTAGCTAAGCGAGTCTATTTTTAATTCCTTTTTGTCACAGGAGGCCTGGGTTATTTCTGTAGCTACCACATCTCCAAATCTCCTTCTCTGGCCTCCACGAAGGTCCTGGAGCATGTCAATAAATATACTCCCTTGCACCATATTTTAAGATGAGCAGCAGGCCTAGATTTATACCTGGTTGCATAAGCAAGCTGGACATATGAAACCTCAAGAATCGGTAGTTCGAGATGTGATCCCATTTGATCTAAGCTTTCCCAAAATGAGCACTTCCTATTACAGAGCATGAAAATGCCTTTTGGACATGTAAAGTAAGATACAGAATGCCTTTAGCCTTCTTTTGTTGCCAACTTAACAGCAGTTTCTCAAGCCATACATTTCCAAATTCTTTGAAGCCGAATGACATAAAGGACTTACACAAAAGATGCCCCCTCCCCTCAACTCCTTTACCAGGAATTAATCTTCCAGCAACTAAAATGCAAAAGGAACTTCATGGCTCAAGAGATGGATTTAAGTTTGACCCTTGCTTTCAGCCCCTATCATCTGGTTCCCAAATGATACATCCCATTACTTTACACCTCTGAGTACTCCACTAATAGATATAATTGAACCCATCAAAGCAATTGGTGATTTAACTATTACTTTATTCCATCAACAGTTTTCTGGTTTAAGCCCTGAACACACAGGATTTTGGACAAATGTCTCTTTTTTACTACCACAATTGCTTGCTTGCATGCTGGTTGCGTCTGGATTGAGAGAATCAGCCGTCTACAAAGACGTTGCCCAGGGGACGCAGGGAGCTTTGAGATGGTAGAACAGAAGCTTTCCAAAGCTCTAGGTGCTCTTACTGCCTACTACAGGGAAAACCAGCTGATCCCTAACCCATCTAAAACACAGACATGTGCCTTTCATCTCAAGAACAGAGAAGCATCCCGAGCTCTGAAGATCACCTGGGAAGGAATCCCACTGGAGCATTGCAGCGCACCCAAATACCCGGGAGTCACTCTGGACCGTGCTCTTACCTACAAGAAGCACTGCCTGAACATCAAGCAAAAAGTGGGTGCTAGAAACAATATCATACGAAAGCTGACTGGCACAACCTGGTGATCACAACCAGATACAGTGAAGACATCTTCCCTAGCTTTGCTACTCTGCTGCTGAGTATGCATGCCCAGTGTGGAACACATCTCACCACACTAAAACAGTGGATGTGGCTCTTAATGAGACATGCGCATTATCACGGGGTGTCTGCGCCCTACACCACTGGAGAAATTACACTGCTTAGCCGGTATTGCACCACCTGACATCCGCCGGGAAGTAGCAGCCAATAGTGAAAGGACCAAGGCAGAGACATCTCCAGCTCATCCCTTGTTTGGGTATCAGCCAGCACGTCAACGACTTAAATCCAGACATAGTTTTCTAAGATCTACAGAGACACTCGCTGGAACACCTCAGCAAGCGAGAGTCCAAAAGTGGCAGGCTCAAACCCAGAACCTCAACCAATGGCTGATACCAAATGAGAAACTCCCCCGGGCACACAGAGGACTGGGCGACTTGGAAGGCGCTGAACAGACTGCGCTCTGGCACCACGAGATGCAGAGCCAACCTTCAGAAATGGGGCTACAAAGTGGAATCCTCGACATGCGAGTGCGGAGAGGAGCAAACCACTGACCACCTGCTGCAATGCAACCTGAGCCCAGCCACATGCACAATGGAGGACCTTCTTGCAGCAACACCAGAAGCACTCCAAGTGGCCAGATACTGGTCAAAGGACATTTAATCAACTACCAAACTCACACATCTTGTATTTTCTCTGTTTGCTTGCTTTGTTCTGTTAGAAATGTAATATAATTGACTGGCTGCCCTGACACGAGAAATAAATAAAACTCCCACAATGCTTAGCATGAATGTACATGGCAAAGTTATGTGTATGTATATGGTAAGGATAGTCACTTTGTCCATTAAATGAAAACTTGGAACAAGTCTGTAGTTGATACACTCAAACATCATGTACTGTGATGGGCTAGGGGATTTTATGGCAAGACTGCTGAAGTCTGTGGGCTGGATTCCAGCTCAGCCTTCTATTGCTGATAAAAGATGCTTCCACACAATTTTTAGCACCCACGTCATCAGGATCAACAAAGTATTTTGCATGGTATTATCAGGGGGCTAGAGAGCTGCCAACCTAGCAGTTTGAAAACATGCAAATGTGAGTATATTAATAGGTACTGCTTTGGTGGGAAGGCAATGGCGCTCCATACAGTCATGCCGACCATATGACCTTGGAGGTGTCTTCAGACAATGCTGGTTCTTCGGTTTAGAAATCGAGATGAACACCACTCCTCAAAGTAGGACACAAGTAGACTTAATGTCAGGGAAAAGCTTTACCTTTACCCAAAGAGATGCTGTGAGGAAGAGGAGTTGAGAGAATCAAATTCTACCAGACTGATTTCATACATTGATGTCTGGATCTGACCCAGTGATTGTTTGTGTTGTAGATCAGCTGACAGACACTGATGGTTTAACTGATTTAGAGAGGATTGTGAGCTTTCCTGTGACACAAAGTGATTTTCTCTTAAGTCTGGGAAATGATTGTTCTCTTTGTGAGAAAACTGGCTTGGAAAGTGCAGGGCCTCAAGGACATTCAGGGGAGTCAGAAGTAGCAAAAGCAGATAAAGAATTGAGTGAAGAGTTGAGTGATAAGGAGGGTTCCCATGGGAACCCACCTGTAGCTACTTGTTTACAAATCAGAGCCAAAAATAGATTGTGTTATTCAGAGAAATTATGTAGGAAAGTTGTGAAGGAAACTCATGGGAAATTGAAAGATTTCGTGAGTGTCTATTAAACAACAGGTTGTTTACCTTAAGGTCAGTTCAGGCAATGCTGTTGCATTAGAGTGAGAAGCTAAGCGTGAGTTCTCTTGTTCCTGGTTGAAGTCAAGCTTTGATTTTGGATTTCATATATCCTGAAAGTTTTCTATGTTCCTGTTCATGTACTCCTGTTCAAGTTTTACTAGTTATACCTTCTTGATTGTGGAATTATGCTGTACTTGTAATTTCTGGCTGTTCCTGGATTTTGTCACCTCTGGAACTTTATGAGACATTTGGATTAGGGCTGGGTGGTTTCGTTTCGTTAATTCGTAATTCGTTAATAATTAGTTAATTTTTTTAATTACAAAACGATAACGAACCATTCTGGAGCAATTTTTAAAAAAAACGAATTTTTAAATAGTTTTGTAAATGCTTCGTATTTTGTTATTGTATTCGTTTTGTTATTGTTTTGAGGTCGTTTCGTTATTATTTCCGCATGACTGGGGCAAGTTTTATGGTTGTTTTTTGTTTAATTAGTGAAAAAAAATTATAATATCACACCAACAGTCAACAACAGAGGGAGAGGGAAGCTTCAGAAGTTTTTGGAGGTTTTTTAGCGTATTTCGCGGTCGCGTCCGCCATTAACGAATCGATTCGTTATTGTTTCGGAAATCGATTCGTTAATGTTTTGTAATTTTTTTTCACATTTACGAAATTTTGTAAATATCGAACTTTTTAAAAGGAAAATTTTGTAATTATTTTAAATAACGAAACGTAAAAACCCCCCAAAAACGAATCGATTTTAGAAACAAATTTTTCCGTTGTTACCCAGGCCTAATTTGGATTATTGTTTGGTTGCTAAATCTTTTTGGATTACACATCTTCCTTTCTTTTTCCTGATTTGCTATGCTTTTTATATGTTGTTACAATCATTCTTTTGCTTATATTCTTGGACTCTTGTGTGGTGCGATGGTCATAGGTGTTTCCAGGCCCAGAGTGCAACAGTTTGACTTGAGTTGGAGCAGTAGTAAACAGAATCTGTGGTCCCTTTCTTTCTGTCGGCTGAGCTGCACTGATGTCACAACATTTTACATTTACAGAAGAATGAGAAGAAAATAAGAGGAACAAGGAACAGAAGTGGAGAAAGAAGAGCAGAGGAATCTTGCCTCTCTAGAGAAAAGGAGACAAAAGTCAAAGTAAGAAAATCTACAGAAGCCTAAGAGCAGAAATGAAAGGAAGTGAAGTGACGAAAGAAGACAAAGCTAGAATTACAAGGCTGAGAATAGTGATTGTGTCTGACTGCAGTTGTGAATGTTGGCTTCTGAATTATACCATCATATGTGTTTTATAGTAGGGGAAACAAGGGTACACCTGAAAGGGGCATTATAAGTCACACTGAAACAGTCAGTACCCATGCACAGGCTGTCTGATAAGCTTATCACCCCTTTTAAAGTACTTCAATAAAATATGTTTTAATTATAAATACCAACAGCCTGCAGATAATCCCTGTGCTTTTGCCCCAATTGTCCAAAGTACTTGAGGATAATCCAGAAATGGAGGACATGTGTAGCTCTTATGCCATCTAAATAAAATACTTTTGCGTACACGTTATCTTAATTTCTTCTATTAGCTAAAGATTTAGGGTATCATTTTTTTCAAAAGAAGGTCAAACACACAGAGAAAGGTGGGCCCAGGATGCCCCTGAAAACATGATATTGGGCACTCCTTCCCCTTTTTTGGTGTGCTTCGGAGTTTACATATCTGTGCTACATTCTCTCCCTTGTTGTTTTTTGCACATGGAATTTATTTTTATTCTGTTCACTATGAACCATGCTCAAGATTCAGTTATTTACAGTCAACTGTGAATTTTAAAAATACTATTGCGATAACACTTCTCTAGGAATCTCTAGGTCTTCCAGCAAAACTCTGCTAGAATTGGATCATTAGAGATTCCTAGAGAGTTGCTCTTTCTAGAAATCTGTAGATCTTGTAGCATGACTCTATGATTAACTTAAGCTGGAAGTTGACCATAGAATTACATTGGAGGATCTAGAATTTTATAGAAAGAACATTTTAATGAAATCCACAAATAATAAAATCCACAAGAACCAAACCAGCAAATGTCAAAGGCTGACTGTGTTTCCATTTCCAGTGAATTCCAGACTCAACAATTGGACTGTTACAGATCACCCAGAGGCTGGTGGTTTAACTGATGATTTAGAGAGGGTTGATGGCTTTCGTGTGGCACAAAGTTCAGGCCTGGGAAATGATGGTTCTCTCTGTGGAAAAACTGGCTCGGAAAGTGCAGGGCCTCAAGGTCAGAGGAGCCAAAAGTAGCATCAGCAGATAAGGAGTTGAGTGATAAGGAGGATTCCCAGGAGTATCCACCTGTAGCTACAGAGATTAACAAAAGTCTTTGTTTACAAATCAGAACTGAAAATAGATTACGTTGGTCAGAAAGATTATGTAGAAAGGTTGTGGAGTAAAATCATAGGAGACATAATGCTTTCATGGATGTCTATTAAACAAGTTGTTTACCTTAAGGGCAGTTCAGGCAATGCTGCATTAGAGTGAGAAGCTAAACCTGAGTTCTCTTGTACCTGGTTCAAGTCAAGCCTTCGTTTTGGATTTAATATATCCCAGAAGTTTTCTATGTTCCTGTTCATGTATTGCTGTTCAGGTTTTTACTAGTTATACCTTCTTGCTTGTGGACTGATGCTGTACCTGTGATTTCTGGCTGTTCCTTGACTTTGTCACCTTTGGAAACTTATGAGACATTTGGATTACTTACACCTATTGCTAAACCTTTTTGGATTATACATTTTCCTTTCTTATTCCTGCTTTTTACATGCTTTTTATATGTTGTTACAATAAACAGTTTGTTTATATTCCTGGACTCTTGTGTGGTGCGGTGGTCATAGGTGTTTCCAGGCCTAGAGTGCAACAGGGACAATTCCAACCAAGTATCCAAACAACAGAAGAATCTCATTATTATGATATTCTTCTTAACACAAACTCTGCTCTAGAAGATTTCCAAGCCTTTCAGATCAGATTTTTAGTGTGCAAAAGAAGCTGTAAGGAAGGAAGGTAGATTGCTGATTCTTGTAGAAATAAAAAGATTCAGCAGAAGTATACAACTGGATCCTGGGCAGCTGTGTAAAATTCATGATTTTCATGGATTAATGAATTCATCTCACCATCACATATATTAATACAAAACATTGTGTTCAACATTATATTAACCAGAAAGCTGGTGTTGCTGATCGTGAGATTAAATAGTAGAACAACATCAGTTTGCTAATGGTGACACATTGTCAGGATACTTGGGGTGCAGTTTTAAGCAAATTTTGCTTATTTCCCATTGAAATCCATAGGAATGACTTCTAAATACATTTTTGCATTTCATGTACATGATGACTAATAAGAGACTGTCCTACTTGGCCATGTCAGGAGAAGATATGACTCACTAAAAAAACAAAAACAATTCTTGGTAGGGGAGAAGGCAGTAGGGGAAAAAAAGGAAGCCTACATTCCAGATGGTTAGACTCAATCAAAGAAGCCTCAACCTCGAGTCTGCAAGAGTTAATTAGGGCTGTTGATGATAGGGTGACCTAAAATGACTCATTCTTGGGGTTGCCATAAGTCAAAGTTAACTTGAGGAAAATTAATGACAGCAATAACAACATGCTGTTGAAGGCTTTCATGGCTGGAATTGCTAGGTTGCTGTGTTTTCCAGGCTGTATGGCCATGTTCCAGAAGCATTCTTACCTGATGTTTCACCCACATCTATGGCAGGCATCCTTAGAGGTTGTGAGCTTTGTTGAAAACTAGGCAAGTGAGGTTAATCTGTGGAATGTCCATGGTGGGAGAATGAACTCTTGTTTTTATTTGAGTGTGAGTGTTGCAATTGGCCACCTTGATTAGCATTTAATGTCCTTGCAGCTTCATAGAAGAAAATCAGCAACCTACAGCTCAACACAGCTTCAATGTGGGGTCTCTATTTATCAAGGGCTTGTTAGTAGACACCATCACACTAATCAACCAGAATTTTCCAGAAGTCATCGCAGCCCTGTTTCACCATCGCCTCACCACAAGCTACTTCTAGTGGCACAATGAATTCTATGAACAGAAAGATGGAGTATCCATGGGGAACCCTCTCAGCCTGGTCACAGAAAATGTCTGCATGGAATACTTTGAAAAACAAGGCCTGGAAACAGCAATAAAAAAGCCCACGATATAGTTCAGCTATGTGGATGACACCTTCACCATTTGGAACCATGGAAAAGAGGAACTAAACAAGTTCCTGGACCACCTCAACAGCATCCACCCAAACATCCAGTTCACCATGGAAAAAGAAAATGAAGGAAAACTGCAAATTCTAGATGTCCTAGTCATCCACAAACCCAATCAACAATTGGGCCACATAGTTTACAGAAAGCCTACACACATACCTACATAAAAACTCCAACCATCACCCAAGTCAAAAAAAGAAGCACAATTAAAGCCCTAGCAGGCCATGCAAAAAGAATCTGGGAACCTGGGAATCTGGGTTTAGGTGAATCACCTAAACTGGGCTCTACAGGCCAATGGATACTCCACTACAGACATCAGAAGAGTTGCAAGACCAAGAACAAGCCACGAGAATAAAGACAAAGACCCACCCAGAGGAAAAGTGTTCTTGCCATACATCAAGGGAACCACTGAGTGCATAGAGAAGCTGATGAAGAAACACAACCTACAAACTATCTACAGACCCACTAAGAAAATCCGACAAATTCTACATTCAGCAAAGGACAAAAGGGATCCTCTCACCTCTGCAGGAGTCTACCGTATACCATGCAGCTGTGGACAAGTCAACACAGGGACCAAACATGAATCAGGGAACATGAAAGGCACTGCAGGCTAATTCAACCTGAGAAGTCAGCCATAGCAGAGCACCTGATGAACCAACCTGGACACAGCATATTATTTGAGAACACAGATATGCTGGACCAAACATGTGGACAATTTCAACAGAAAGGAAGAAACCATGAAAATGCACAAAATCTGGCTACCAATATTTTTTTTAAAAACCCTCTACAATCAAGACAGTAAATAAAGAGCAACACTCAAAAAGCAGGGGAATTCCAGACAATAATCAATTAAGGTCAGCTAACACCTCCGAACAAAGGATCCCTCAGGCAGCAACCAGCCAGACTTTGAAGCTGCAAGGCTATGAAATGGTAATCAAGATGGCCAATTGCAACATTTACACTTGCCTCAAACAGACAAGAGTTCTTTCTCCCACTCTGGACCTTCCAGAGATATATAAATCTCACTTGCCTACTTTCCAACAGACTTCATAACCTGTGAGGATGCCTGCATAGATGTGGGTGAAACATCAGGAGAGAATGCTTCTGGAACGTGGCCATGCAGCCTGGAAAACTCACAGCAACCCAATAACAACAGCATTTGTTTAGACTGCCATGTTCCAATCTGTTTAATTGATGATATTTTGTGGGATCCTCTGTGGATCCCCAGTACATTAAGAGGCCCTTTATTGCTTCCCAACAATCCTTTGGCTCACTTGGCTTGTAAGTCATCAATAATTTAGTGGGAATGAACTTTTTGCTTGGCCAATTTAGGTGGGTCACATTTCACAGAAGTAGCACTCCTATTCAAATTAATCTCACACAGATGAAGGTACTCTGAGTTTGAGACATACCACTGATAATGGCAAAGGCTGGTAGAAACCTCAATATGCAATTGGAGTGAAGTACGTCAAACTTACTTCAGCCAAGGTATCAGCAAAGTTCAATGGTAGTCCAGCCTTATATAGGCATGCATTCACATACATGCAGTACAGTTGTATGTGTGATTTCTATCCCTTGACTTCAGTAAGGTCTACTCCCCAGGTAAGTGTATGTAGGATTGCAGTTTTGCCCTCAATGCAAATTCTGCAGATGCAACTTTAAAATGGATCAAATTTGTTACTCTGATTCAACTGGTTTGCAGATCAAGTTGTTATTATCTTGTTCGTTCCCTGATTAACATAGTGGGAGGCAATCAGGGAAAATTTGCTTCCAGCGCTCCTCATTGGCAGAGTGCCAAGTCATTTATCTATTCTCTGGACTCACAAGGGGCGTTGAGCCAGTTGCTAGGTGCCCCTGCTGCTGCCACTTCTAGTTGCGGCACTGCCTGCTGCAACCAATCTCCAGCCTATAGGGATCGTTTTACTAAATCCAGGAAAAGAAAAAGTTGGACTGCAGTTGGTAAGCAATCATTGGATGCATCATTGAAAGCACCCTACGAGGCAACCTGTAAATGCCTGTCGGGCATATGGATAAGTCTTCAAGTAACCACAGTGTTCCTATTGCTCTTGCTCTGGGACGCAGTAAAGCAGCAGAGGCCGAAATGTGGCTATTTCAGATAGTAGCATATAAGGAAGTAAAAATGGTGGTGGGAAAGAAGAGAGAGGAAAGGTAATGGAAGTATGCATCCTCAAGGCAGAGAAAAAGAAATGCATGAATCATTAGCACCAGTAGTTCATGGCATGGGTAAGGGTGAGTGGATAACCTGAATCACCAGGATATAAATGGTAGAGAAAAACAAATAGTTTTAAAAATAGGGCATAATTATATTTTGGGGTTCACTTTCCAAAATGTAGTTCTGATTGCCAAGTTTGTTTGTTTTTTTCATGTCAGGAATGACTTGAGAAACTGCAAGTCGCTTCTGATGTGAGAGAACTGGCAGTCTGCAAGGATGTTGCCTAGGGGATGCCTGGATGTTTGATGTTTTACCATCTTTGTGGGAGGCTTTTCTCATGTCCCCTCATTGGGAGCTGGAACTGATAGAGGGAGCTCAACCTGCTCTCGGTCAGCTGACTTGCCAGTACAAGATGTAACCCATTGTGCAACCAGGGGATCACCAAGTTAATGGAGGATAAGACATCAGCAACAACAGGACAGTCTCAGTACTTTCTGCTGGGACCAAAAGTGAGATGATGCTGTTATATTCTTGTCCTGAGAGGTTCCATCTTTCAGTGCATTATGTGTTTCTACATGGCAGGAGGTTGTACTTTATGGTTCTGTGATTCCCATACATATCTGGCAGGCCACTGTGGTAAAGAAGACAGTGGCTTGATCCAGTATTGTTTTTCTTGTGTTCTTATGATTGGTACAAAAATCTACCTAATATGCCTAATATGGGCTTTTGTTTAGGTAACTATAGGTTCACACAGCCACTGTCTTGCTAGGCCATGGAATATGTCTGATCTGAACCCAAATTCATATAACTATGTTTCCCTTTGGGGCAAACAACAACCAGAAAATTCTAAACCTTCCTTGTGTGACAGTGTGACACCTTTTAGTTTCAACAGACAATCGCTAACCACATCTGGTGTCCATTAAAGTTTTCTTTTAACACTATATATACTTAATAAAATGTTCACTCTTCTTCTTGATGTAACAGGGTTGCAATACAAATTATAAAAATAAAATACAATAAAATATGATAGCATTAAACCAAGAAGATAAAAAGATAACAGAAAGACAGCAGATAAAAGGGGCATTAAGAGATCTCAAACAGCACTAAAGGCTTGAGATAACAGGATGGAGTTCACTTGATGGCCAAAGGATAACATTAAAGACAGCAGGCAAATATGTCTTCAGACAAACATTTGGCTTTTAAACTGGCTTGTTTGCTGAAGCAGGTTTCCACTGTTCTTTGTTGTTGTTGTTGTTGTACTATTGTTTGTGTATTTTAATTAGGAGTGTGAAACTGATTCAGATGAATCCCAAATAATAAAATGAGTCTGACTGATTTTGACCAATTTGAACAAGCTCTGGGTTGGCGCATCGAGTTCCAAAGCAGAACAGTACGGTCCAAAATGCTTTTGACCCATCCAGAA